CGCTCTTCCTAGGGCTGCCAGTTAAGCAACTTTATCAATTCACTTAAATTTTGTTTGAAGCAAAATTTTTAAATACAAAACTGACAAAGAAGTCTACATAGTATGTAAATTTTCATTATGCCAACACACAGTGGGGTGGTTTTTTTTTTTTAAGTCAGAAACTTCATGCATTAATCTATTTTTACATAAAGCAGCAAAATGCTTTACCCCGTAACTCCTACTATGCTCACCTACATCGATTAAAAATAGTTTGTGCGACAAAGTAATCACCAGTTTCTAACTTGCTTTTCTCTCCCTATTAATCTAATTAAGAAACTGGTAACATTTAGCTATTTATAACCAGCAAAATCTCCATTTTAAAATATGAAAAGCCATGAATTTGTATTCAAACATGAAGTGTGCTTAAAGTTGAGAACAGAGAAATATCATTAAAGAAATCAACTAGATGCACTGTAACCCCTATTTCCAAGTTGCAAATAAGCACACCAACTCCAGTTGGTAAAAAATGAATGTTGTTTTCCTCAACAGACACAGAACTAACTGCTTATAGTTTATTTCCTATGACTTGGTGGCTAAAGGACATTAAATCTGTATTGGAGACCTCACTTGCTCTTTAGCATTCCCATCATTCAATGGGTCAAGAGATAGTTTCAGAGGCTTGTACAAGAATAGCCATAGCACTGGGATTAGAAAATCAGAAGACATTCTTGTACCCATTTCAATTCTTCATAAAACATCCTGGTTTAACAAACTGAACAAGGCTAACAAATAAATTCCATAGTTCTTACTTACTACTACCAAGAGCACAACTATTGCACTTAAGAAATGTCAAGCACTTATCGAATTATCACAATTTAAAACCTATGTAGTTTATAAAGTATCTGGATGTATCTGTATACTGTTACATATATTTTACATATAAAGTATAGTAGATATATTTCTCCCAGCTTCAATCACTATAAAACTTTTTTTTTTAAAACACGTCAAACCTTGAAAGTGCAGGACTACATGCTTAAAATTTACAACTCCTCTAGCACGTGATAGCAAAAAAAAAAGACTTGATTTCTTTTAAAACTGGTAGAGAAAGTCTTAAGGAAATCCTCCTATTATTAATGTTAAAAGAAAAAAACCCTGTCATAAAATGGAATAGAGACAACTTGATGTAGTGAATCAAAAATGCCAAGGAGGCAGAACTCCCACATGTTAATAATATAGCAGAATATATATTCAATGCTCATTTCTGTGGTTAACTACTATTGTGGTGAGTAGATATTTGACAAATTACTTCAACATGCAGAAAATAAAGATGCAAACTTAGCTACTGGAAAGATCTGATGTATTAACATGTACAGGTTAATTTTGTTAATTTTTACTATCTAACAATCATTAAAATGACCATATTAGATGGACATACTGCTTTATTACTGCACTATGGATTCCTGCATAAGCATTTCTTTGCATCTATTAATAGTATATTTCATTTGCCCATTTTATTGTCCAGTCAGCATAATGACATCATCCTGCCTTTATCTCTGGTTTGTTTTTGGTTTTTTGTTTGGTTTGTTTTTTTTTTTTTTTAAATTAACCTTTACTTCAGTTATGTTGAATGTCGTGTCTCAGTTTTCACTATCTTGTTAAGTCTTTCACGAACAGCTCGGGTCACTGCACAGATGTGAGAGGGGACCCTTTGGTGATGAGTTGCTGGACTGTTCTGTTTACAGATCTGGATAACGGGTGATTTCCACTTCTAACACTCTTGATCCTGTCAGTACAGGAGTCCCTCCGGGGCTTTCTGAACTATACTGTCAATTTTAATTTATGTCTCTTCCCAATATTATCACTTAAATTCAACATCTTCATTCAAAAGAGCTATCAAAACACTGTTGCTTCAAAAAAGGAGACTTTCATCTGTATCATCAGGTCAAACAATACATACAAGACAGAAGCCAGAAATGCACTTTACTAGTGAGAAACCACCTCATCTCAATAGTAGTTTGAATAACTACACCATTAACCAATGCAACTGCAACACCACAACCTTTGGTCAATTTAACCCGGTTTACAGGCAGAGACAGCTCTGAGATTAAATATCCAAACAAAGTATTTATGAACAAACATGCCATGGGAATTTAATCAAGATGTGAAACATTGCGATGATGCAGCAGTTGTATCCTGCACAGAGGAAATCCTAACTTATGGGGGCTCATCGAAGGATTGTCTTGACCAAGTGTAAAAAAAGGCCGGCAATCTCCAGCTATACCTGTTTATGAGGACCCCTGAGTATATGTGCCTTGGCGCCTTCACAAGCCGTCCTCATTGCTTCCAGCGACGGTGTTCCCAACAGGTCTGTGATCAAATCCAACTGTAGGTATAGAACATGTAAATTTGAGATCTTAGACACATATTAATATATTTCACTATGATAGCAGATCCTTAAGCTAACATAAATTACATTTAAGTTATGAATCAGTTAAAATCCACTATTTTTACAGATAGTAAATTACAAATATTAACAGATACATTTAGTAGATAGCAAATACAAACATTTGTCATTTCACTGAAAAAGCCCTAACAGAAGCTGATTTTCAAGTTTGGGAGCCTTTTTTGTTTGCAGGTTTAATAAAGCATTTCAGTGCAATTTAAAAGTCAATTTTACATCATTAAGAAAATTGTGAAGTACTGTTAATGGTGTGTTACTCATTCTAAACCCCAAATATTCTCAATTGAATGTCAGCATTGTATACCAATATACCACACAAAATTACCCCCCAAAAACAGGTCAACTACCACTTTACACAAAAGATTTTGCCATCAACAGGGATAAAACTATAGAAAATGGGGAAAAAAACCCCTCAGAACTACAGTACAAACATACTATATAAAAAATTCCATTATATGAGAAAAATAAGTTAAAAAAAAATATCTGTCCAGCACCAGAGGAAGGAAAAAGAGTAGTGCTAGTTATAAGGAAAACAAAAGCTATCTGAAGAGCAAAGATGATGCTGCGTTTAAAACTGGTCTCAACTTTAAATGAAATTACATTTCATTCACCTTTTCATTTTGGAAAGCAACAAACAAGCTTTCACCGTATTTCTACAAAAGTGTGTGCATATACTCCTTTAGTGAATAAAAACAAATAAAACAAAAACCCCTGTATAAGTCAAGCAAAATAATAAAAAAAAAAAAGTCTTGTCAGTGGTGAGATCGGCACCCTGGTTCCAAGTGTTCGCTTGTGACCACCCACGCTAACGAGCAACTGCAGAGCGCTCCTCTGAGAATAAACCCATTATCATCATTATACAGGCCTTGCATGCATGAAAATCACCCACTGACTGTTGGTATAACATTGTGAAATGTGACTGCTGTTTACACATCAAACTAACTCTTCAATTGGTGTGTTCTCTCCGCCTTCTCCCCGCTCTCCAGCAGAAGCACTAGTCTGTCCAGTGCCTCCAGGTACAGGCAACGCCACAACGGTACTGAACACGTGTCCTCCCGTTTGCCTTGGCACCGTGTGGCCAGGGCTAGCATAACTTCATAGAGGAGCGACAGCAAAGTACCTACGTTTGTAAGGAGATGGAACACTAGACAGGGAAAAAAATCCTAAACCTTGAGGTTTTTAGATGTGGAAAATACATAATTGAGAAATAGACACATGGAGCTGATATAGTAAAAGATCAAAGTATTTACAAAATTGAAAAAGTAATATAATGAATTATACCAGGGTATCAGGGAATGTAGACTACATAAACACCTGTATTTTTCAGCCAACTACTCCTGAAGCACACAGCAATGGTATGTTAATACATGTTTATATCTATATATATAGATACGGATATAAATACACACACTTTATTCTAATGGTTACAAGAAAAAACACTGAAAACAATTTTCATAATGATCTCCTGGAAGTTCATGTTTAACATCTCTCAAGACATAAATTGTCTTGTCTTAGCCGATACATTTCCAATACACTCACAGAAAAGTTTTGTTAAGAGACCTGATTTCATTTATCTAGATGCATGTCATCAGTCATTAAACATATTTTTCTGAAGTATTACAAAATAGATTTTGAAATTTTAGTGTAAAAATAGAACAAATATTACAAAACATTAATTTTGAATTCAACTGACCTCAGCTGTGTGAATTTCAAGTCTGCCGGGTATATACAACGAATCTACATTATTACGTTATTATTCTAGGTCAGAAGGAGAAGTGCACTTTCAAAGCTAACTTCCCAGCTGCTGCCACTGCCTGCGCTCTGGTTTGCACTGAGCGTCCTGGAGCACAGGCACGGGGTCCCTTTTGATAAGACTCACTGCGGGATGCATTTCATCAGAACATCTAAAGGAACTTCATCTGCCAGTGGGCATCCAGCCTATGCAACCAGACCAGGCCCGTTCCAAAGCACACCTCCACTCTGCATTGTGGAAAATGGGGGTGTGGGTCCTCAGCACCGACGACCTCGCCCTACAGATCCCCTCCTGCTGGTATGCACTAATGGCTCAAGTAAGCATCGCTGAAGTCAGAAATACAAAACCGGTATCCAGCAACAAGCATACCCTTGCTATACCGATGTGTGAAACAGCAAGCCTCTCTTCTCCGCGTACATGCGTGCTGACGTGCCAAAGGCTGGCTGTGCAACATGCCAGAAATGCAACTTCATGTACGTGCTACGGCTGATGGGAAACGGCTACACTAGGCCGGCAGTATCTGCCCGGTCCTCCTTTCTTCCTGACACTCTGATCCTTCCAAACGGATTCTGCTTACTGTCTCAGGCATGTGACTGGTTATCTTTAAGGAGGATTAAATAATAATCAGCAAAACCAGACTAGAGGAACTGGCTAGCCTAGGAAGGTGGTTAAAACTTAGCACTCTATAACCTGCCTTTTACAAAACAGTGTGCAGACTAGTCTTTAAAGCAAGCAGAGAAAGGCATTTGCTCCCACAGAGTGTCAGAAAGTCAGAGATCACCCTTCCTGCACCACAGGTGCACTAAAAGATAAAATTAGATGTATTAAATGTTTCTGGACAGACAGCTAAAAACAACTTGTATTTGCACCTTTAAAAATGCGTTTTTAAACAAAAATAGAAAGATTGTATCATACAAAAATGCTAACTATTCTAAATAGTATGAGTAAAAAGCAAAAATAGGAGATACAAAAATAGGAAATACTATATTTGACAGTGTTTCTGATGACCTAAGTCTCAGTATAGATTATCTCATTTCTTACTGTTGTAAGAAATCCCACAAAATCCATATCAAAAGTTAGCTATTTTAACTCAAGTCAGCAACTCCGATATATTCATCACTTTCAACATGATACTATCCAAAGTTTAAAACACCAAAATCACCAGTTCTAGTCTGGTTTATAATGTAAAGCTTTATTCACTTTCTTCATCAAAGATTTGAGTTAAAAATTCCAGCACAGTCAGTTTTAAAATGATCTCTCCCCTGGTTTTTCTACCAGGAAAACTTTAGCCTGATGATGGCTATCCTGACATCAGAGAGTTTTTGCTGTCCTGGTTAACCCCACTGGGTGTATGGGATAACCATTTTCAGTGTACAGTATACACTAAGGGGCACGGCACAGGCTTCAGGAAAGACCATAACATTGGCTAGCCCAAGGCACTTCTATAGACTCTATCCACCTTTGAATAGTACTGAATTTCTCAGATCATAATTGAAATATATATGGTGATTACTTCTTAAACCATTCTACTGCACAGGGATTTGAAAAGATCTAGGAACTCTTATGTAACTTTATATAACTTTTCAATCAAACAAAGTGAACACCACATAAAAAACCCCACCCCATATTGCTATTCTAGAGTTATCTGACGAATGTCTTTGCATTTTAAATTTCAAGAAGGGTAGCCAAGGCTATTAAAATCGCACATATGTTTAGCTTCAGTGTAGCAAAAGGTCAAAGTTGAGAAAAACAGATGATCTTAAATATTTTTGAGATTGAAACAGAATAGCTGTCAATTTAACTAGTAGTTCTGATTACATTACTGCTTTTCTCCTCTGCAGTCTCTTCACAAGGGTGAGAGAGGTGTATTTTGGGAGTAAGACTACTTTTTGTGATCATACAAGGTATCAGTGCTGTCTAGAATGACCAGCAAGTCCCTCCTTGGGAACACTACTGCAGTGACATGACAGGTACCACTAAACAGGACACGGCATTGAAAAGATATATACGCAACACAACAACATTTTAAATATACAAATGTTGAAAACAGCATGCTAATGTGAATGTCTCTCAAACCCTTGAAAATGCTATATGCGAACAAACAAGAAAAGTATAGAGTTTGGAATATCACCTTTAACAAAAGTTTGGAATATGTTTTTACTTCTTGTCAATCAATATACGTAATCTCACAATTTTAATGCTATGGAGTTTCTCATCTATGGACGAATACTAGCAACATTGAAGATGAACATTTTTATGTCAGCACATCTTGTTCCTTCTCTTAGATAGAAGTATAAATGCATCCATCTCTAATATCTTGCTGCAGACATTATTTTCTATCTACTGTAAAAATAGCACTTCAAGATTATTAGAGATATATGTATATTATATTAGCTTGCCTGCTGTTGGAATGGTGATGAAGTATTCTGGTGCATCTCATGTTTTTATACCTAGCTACAGCTATACAACATAAAAAAATATTCAATACCTTCTTACACACTTGACTGTTACTAAAATGAAGCAGTCTGAGCAATACTACTAATTGGCAGTTTAAATAGTTCAAGTGCCAATATTGTATCTCCAGTCATATCTTGACAGAAAACTTACTACTTTCTCGTATTACTTGTTACAAAAAGCTTGATCTCGGTTATATCACCTTTACCTTATCTCAATAAAATGCTACAGCAGGCAATAGATTACAGGGGATTACAAAAAAATACACATTTCAAAAGCTAATGTTAATAACCACTACTTTTAATACTGTCTGGAAGCTATCATTTCAGTGTTTCAAAGTAGCTTGGGTTTTTGCCTGTGTGTAAACCAAGCAAAACAAAAGCAAGTTTGAGGTTCAAAATGCATCAGTATAACTGATTCCATGAAATTATGCAGTAGAAAAATTTTTAAAGGGAAATTTAATTATACCTGCTGTATGGGACTCTGTGCCTGAAACAATATTCTTCGCCCAAGTAATTCTGCAAAGATACAGCCTACAGACCAGATGTCAATAGCATTGCTGTAGTGACGGCTGCCCATCAGGATTTCTGGAGCTCGATAATACTGAGTGACAACTTCCTGAGTCATGTGACGAGATTCATCTAATTCTTCCACCCTGGCCAATCCAAAATCACAAATCTAAATTGAGAAGGTAAATAAAAAAATTAAAATAACCAAAACACTTAATGCATTTCAAATAGGTAACCTTCTGGTAACAAAGCAGGAAATTCCAAACCAGCATTTAAATAAATCAGAAAATCTGCTGTAACTGCATAAGCAAAGGGAAAGGGGAATATGAAGAACTTATGCTACTTTATTCCACATCCATTTAAACTTTCTACAATTTTATTTGAAATCACAGTACATTTTTAGTTGGCATTACAATATTTATAATCTAAAAGATTAAAAAACTTTGCACTAAAAAAAAAATATATATACTGCCAACCTCTGGGTACAGAATATTTCATCCCAAACCAGATTTCATTTGTTCATGATATGCCTCAAAATGTTACAGAAAGATTCAGCCTTCTACTCACTTTGGCTTTCAGAATTTTTAAAAATTTCTTGAACGAGAAGGGTTAAGAAAACAGACCAAAACTTTCACAATTAGAACGCTTAGCAAATCGGTGTAAACAAAACTTTTTTTTTATATATTTGGCATAGCTATACAACATGCCTAAGCCCTCCAAAATTTCACATGCCTAAGAAGTTAATGGAATAGTCTTGGGCGTTCTGTATCGCCTTTACTTTGACTAGCACACTGAACACTAACATTGCAATACCTGAAGAAGCTGCCTGCCTTTCTCAACTGCTGAGGGCACAAGAGATCCCACGCAAGTCAAACAAAAGAATTATGTCTGTCTTGCCTTCATACATTCGGGGAGGGGTAGGGAGAAAAGGGGAAAGGAAGATGTTTGTTTCATTTATAATTTTTAAAGAATCTGTGAGATTTTTTTATTTTAAAATGACTTTCAGGAAAAGTGTTCATATTAAATGTTTTTGTTTAAAAAAAATAACAACTGATTTATAATGAACAGCATATACATATGTACATTTTCAATAAATTTAAGTAGCACCTTAAGGACACAGTTGCTGTTCACAAGTAGGTTCCCTGGTTTAATGTCTCGATGTAAAATGCCAGCAGAATGTAGATATTTCAGACCTGAAATATTAAACGAAATTAAAATAAATACCTTTTTTCCTTTTAAAAGAAGTTTAAGGCTGACAACATTTTCCTGGAAGGTCTTGCAACTCCTGATCAGCAAAGACTTTGCCATTGGCTCATTTTTTATACGATTCTAACTTCCAGTCTCTAGTATACACTCAGTCACTCAATGAAAGGATAAAACTTTTGGAGTATACAAACTAGACAGAGCAAGTAATTTAAGTAGTCTTTTTTTTTTTTTTTAAACCAAACCAAACCAAAAACATCATCTCCCTGGTTATGATATGGATACTCTGCTAATCACAACACTGGAATATTGACATATATCTCTTACTGCTCTGTTTCCCAATAATAATTTTAACTTCTGCAGCACTAAAATTTGACTTAACAATTTCCTAGGTAACAGCTGCACTTCAGAAATAAACTCAGTTTAAACCCAAGCTAATTTGCCTTTTTTTTCCCTAAAAAAAAAAAAAAACACCCCACAAAAAACCACCAAACACTTTTTTCAAACTAATACCAGCAGCAGATAATGTAAAACAAGGCTAACAGAGTACAGGCCCAAATTACAGTAAAGCCTAGATCCTTTTCTTAACTTTATTAGTGCAAAAATTCAAAGCTAGAGCTAATGAACTTAGGACATCTGATCACAGCCATTGGGGATGTTTCTAACATTTAGGTGGTTAGGAAAGAAAGATAACCTATCCTTTCTGTGTGCTTTTGCTGTCCCTGAAGCTATAATTGTGGTATTTTTAAGAAAATGAAAGTAATGCAGAAAGCACCTCACTGAAAAGTACAGTGGAAGAAAGTATACCAACATGAAGTTGATTATGCACATGAACTATAGTAGCAGAAAAAGCATGAAAAATGGAAAAATGGCCATAATTCAAGTAGGGTCAGATAGAGCAAAAATAAATAATAGCATTAAACTGGGGAACACTAAGCTCTCAGATCAAATGCTTGGGCAAATGGAATGAGAATTCAAGTAACTCTTGAACAAACTTTAACTGACAGTTTTGCATTGCCATTTGGATAGAAATCAGAGTTTTGAGTGTTCCCCCAGTCACCAAACTCAGTAATCACAGAAGTACAAATGCCTTTTGTCCTTTAGGAGGAGTATAAATCTTTTCTCTAATACAACAGGTACCTGGAATAGCCCATACTAATTCTGGATATAATTTAGATTTCTTTGCTCTGCTCTTTATTAATACGATCTACTATTTATTTACTGCCAGATAAAACTGACTGTTTACTTCCAGCTTATTCCAGTGAAAATACTCAAATAAAGCCAATGGAAAAGCAACTGGACTAACACTGATCAGATGTTCAAAAGACAAGCACAATAATCTCATTTCTTGGATAAAAGTTTCCAAATGGACTAAAAAAAAAAATCAAGTTTAAAATTACTATTATGGTAAATTGTTTTAGCTAAAAATCAAACTTTAGTGGACTGTTCCAAAACAATTTAAACTAGACTGTCCTCCAGAATACCTTAAGTGGGTATAGTTGCATATATTTATCAATTTGGCTCAGTCTAGGTGTCCTTCCTGTACCTTGATTCAAAAAGCATTGGAGGACTGTTAAAACACACACACCCACCTTATGACTCTCACAGGCCATGGAAAAAGCCTTTGCAGCTGAAGCGGAAGTCTTGCCATCTTTACCCATGACTATGATGGAAGGCTGCAGGGCTGCCATATTCTTATAACTAGAATAATTAATGCTTGCTATTCATTCATAATATGAAATAAAAAGAACAAGTTTCCATGGGAAACTTATTCAAGATGAGGATGTCTTGAGAATAAACATTAAGAAACAGAAGAAAATACTACTACTACTACATAATTTTCATTAAATTTAAAAGAAGAAAGATTACCTCTTAAAATCTGGTAAAGAAAAACTTTGACATGATCCGAGCTGAGTGGCTGAGGAGAGACGATAATCTTATGGAGGTCACTCTGCATCAATTCAGTGACAACATATCTTCAATTTATTAGTTAAGGCAAAAGCAGAAAGTCCAGCACATAATCTCTTGAAACATTTACTCTAACTCCTAGGAATTTGAGCTCTTACAGGTCAGAGCTATCGAGCAAAAAAGAATAAAGCTTCTTCAGAGGTCAAGTCTCCAGACTCTTACAAGAATGAAAATAAAAAACGGGTTGTGAAAGAAAACAGATTACTCAATAAAGTAGCGTTTGCGTTAAGGTAGTTGTTACAAAATCATTCCAAAGTCAAATTACGACTCAGAAAACAAAATAAAATTTTAATATAATTAATGGCATCTTGAAACCTTTAAATTTTTCCTTAAGATCCATAAGCCACAAATTACAAATAACTAAAGTAGCGTCTTCATAGTGGACATACGTCAACATGGTTTAACCAAACCAGCAAGTGCAAGCTTGTGAAAGTTGGTTATCAAAAGTACCTTGCAGGTTGCTACACAATCAGTAATGCAGACTTTTAAAAACACATACGATTCTCTATATCTACCCAGTACCCACTATTTACCTTCTCAGGCATCATATACGCATGCATATAAATCCCAGTCATAAACCCTCTTCTAAGTTATAAAAGGAGAAGCAAAAGAAAAAAAAAAACTTCTATCTGGAGGAAAAACTAAAATAACAAACAGAAACCGCTATTTCAAGTACTCATAGACATGCAGAACACAGCAATAGTCATGCTCACTGATAATTTACATAAATACTTGAAGATACAACGAGTTGTACATGCTGTGGCTTATACTAAGGTAAGGTGTGGATTAAGAAGGGTATTGTGTTTATTCAGGAAGGACTAAAAATGGTAAAAATATAATGTTTCAAAAATTGAGAAATACTGAATACACAAGCAGCACATCTAAACCCACAAAATCAGTATCATAGTGTCAATTTCCTGAATATGTGACAGTAATAAAACACTTGCAAAAATCATTACAATAAATACGCGGGATACTACAGACATACGCTGCCTATGAGTTGTACAGGGCAGTTAGTGACAGACAGCTTTTGCTGCAGCCAGCGATGAAGAGCCTGCGGAGTTGCAGAGAAGCTGCCTCTGTACTCCACTTCATTCATGAACACCACTGGTAAATTAAGTTTTGATTTTGGAGCTGTGGTTCAGAACAGAGTTTAAAGCAAAACCACAGCACCTCAACTTTCAAGAACTGAACTTGCAATACTGAGAATTTTCAACTTTTACAACAAATAAGCTCGATAATTAAGAAACATTACTGCTTTAAAAGCTACTTCAGCAGTTGTATTTGAAACAAAAATCTCTGATATTATTACATTTGTGGCTGAAGAAAGTAAAACACGGTAGCCATACATTAACTGAACTACCTTACAGCAAGGTATCAAATGACCCCTGCATTAGGCATTAAGCATTACGAGCCACACCAAGCCCTGCAACATTCGAAACAGACAAAAACACGGCAGAGGGGTGGTGCACACTGCCAAGGTCATGCAAAAGATCAAGGAGAGAGTTAGAAATAAAACTGCATCTCCTGGGCCCCAACCTAGTATCTCCCTTGGTGCAGAAGTTCATTCACAGTTCAAGCTAAAGCGGTAGTCAGCTCCCAGCCTTCCAAAAATACAAACTGATCAGTTGTAAGAATCAGCAACAGCTCAGTTGCCCTCCTCCGACTGGGTGCTACCCGAACGCTGGAGCGTGTACGGCTTTGCCTTCCACTCTGGAGGAAGAAGCAGGGTTTTGCTGTGCATGAGGAAGTTACACGCTTCAGTTCTACTTGTCCTCCGTATCTGCCATGCACAAGCTCCGGTAACTTCATGAACTCGTCGACCTCGTGGTGGTATTTTTATGAGTGTGCTGTCCTGACCTTTTCTCTGAAAGCAAAGCTAACTAGGTCAACGTTGAGGGTTTTGTTTTGTTTTTAAATCTCACCATTATCCTGTAGGAGCCTATCAATTGGTTCAATGCTCTTTATAACCAGCTCTTGCTACATATCAAGTCTGAAATATAATAGCAAACCCGGACTTCAGTTAAGATATTTATCTCTCAGTCACACAGTAAGGAAGTCAGCTTCAGCAGAAACTTCTACTTGTTCTTACCATTATCACCAATTAATTGGCACAGGTCAAGCTGCACTTTCTACAATCCACAGAAAACTCACATTTTCTTTCATCTCTACCTAACCAATGTTCTCCTTCCATTTCTTGCTCTGCAAACCCTATCTGGCCAAATCCCTACCAGCCAAATTGTTCACCTGCTATCAGCACACCACACACAAATTAATTTTATAAATTAAATATTACCATCTTTTTGACCAAAAAATCCCCAAATTAAAATTGCATTCATAAAGAATTCATAAAGAAAAAACCCAACCCTGCAGCACCATAATTCCTCGTCCTCTAATTTTTCTTCTCCTTTTGCAAAGACCCTCTTAAATATTTATACCGGCCTTTTAAAATTTGGTTTTTACCTTATGGCTGCAACAATCTTTACATTTCATTTTTAATGTAAAATATTTTAAAAATCCAAAATCATTACTTTGCACTTTATTATGATAAGATTTTTGTTTTGCTACACCACAAATCCTCCTAAATCTCAATCCCGAGCATAATGTCTCCCAGATGTCTCAACTAGTTGCCATGCCAACTAAAGCAGCTTAAATTAAATGAGGGCCTGAAATGGCACCTGCACCACTCCAGGTCTGCTGCGCATTAAATAAAGCTCTCTTGACAAGGGCTCAGAGGTGCCATTAACTTGAACAGCAGCTATCTGATTATTGTCTCTAGATAATTTAATGAGGGTCTCTAAACAAGAGCGAAAGCAGCACTTGCTTGACGTTCCTGCCTTTTACAAATGTGGCAGCTTCTTAAACAGCTGGTACCCAAGTGGGTCAATGACTTTACTCCGGCCAGTACTATAAATGTTTAGCAAAAACAAACTACAAAACCCCTATGGGATTTCAATCAACTATTCAAACAGGTACCTGCAGCTGTCTTTTTAAAGTTGGAACATAAAATATGCTGGCTATGAGGTGGTCACTGGAGCTGTAATATGCAGCTAAGCTGAACATTACTACCACATAAAAATTGCTACTGACAGCAGTAATTAGTTAAGTAGCTGTATAAAATTAGAACTACAAATGTACCAATTTGCTTCAGAATAATTACCAAGGCAAATGCACAGCACAAAAGAACTTCACTTACTCTGTTGACTGGGAGACCTGCTGAGTTGGTAAATTTTACAAAGTGACAGGCAAATTTTAGAAAGGAATAAAGTACAGTCTATGATGTGGTATTCTCATAAAGACTTGGATCCTTCTTTATTAGGTCTCTGCATACCTCAAAACTCAATTCTATAGACTGTTTTTCTGGGAAGAGGCCAGCATTCTGTGAACAAGTTCTGTGGTAGGTGGATTAGCTGGATGCTAACAGTGTAGTAGACGTGTCTATCTGCATGATACTGTAATAAAAATGCTTTTTTTCAAAAAAAACCAAAACTCTTTCTTATATATTTCAGGATTTTCTATGGGGACAAGGCATTTTCTCCTATTTTAGTATACTTCAGTTATATTTGTTTTTACATTATGATCATATCAAGCTTAGTTTCTCTTCTAACTGTTCTCTTCTAACTCTTTGTAGACTTCATAGCTTCCTAGTAGAAGTATTTCTACAACATCCTCATTTTGTATCAATACCCAAAACATGAAAAAAAAGACCTGGACTATGTAAAAATAGAATCACAATTATTCAAAAAAATTTAATGAAGCTAATGCCTAAACTATTTTTTATGTTTAAAATTTGCTGACTTTTCTGTTACAGGTAAAATTACTGATATAAGCATATATGCCATCAAGTCACCTCTAATTATGCAATGTAGAAATGGCAAACTATGGCATGTTTTAAAGACCACAGACAAGCAATAGCAGAAGCTTTTTGGAGGGACACGGTTTTGGAGTCAGGGGAAAAAAATAAAAAAGACAGTTTTTCATACCAGGAAGAAAATACTGAAACTCCATCTGAATCTTACTTCTGTGTAAGGTAAGGGCTTCAAAGCTCTTGATGAGTTCCTAATACAGAGAAAATTCAGCCTTTCAACCTAACTGAGCTGGGGTACAATGAGAGAAGCGCTTAGGTGAAGCAGCAGCTCCCACCTCTCCACTCCTGCTCAGTTTCAAAACTCATCAGGAGCTGGACTTCCCAGCCTTCCACAAAAGCACCATGTCATCAATCAGCTCTGAGTTAATGGCATTGGTATTAATCACCTGCAGTTTAGTACCTCCATGTTTTGTATTATGTACAATAAAATCACTACTTTTCATATCTAAATAATTGTATCTATGTATTTGTAAAACAAAGCTTGAACGCTGTGGAAGCTCTGTTTTGGGAAAGACAAATACATCTGCCATATCACACCTGCAGGACTGTGTATAGGCTTGTTGCGACAAGTTTTCTTGGCTGTATACTGTGGTTAGCAAGAGTAAGACATACAGGTTCTCTGGTGTCAGTAAAAACCACATGTCTGAAATGGAACGGTGAGCCATTCCCCAGAGGTATGGCAGGATGCAGTCTGCAGAATACAAAAATAAACTCCACTACCTCAGCATTAGTTTCAAAATTTCACTTGGTTATTTAATTATTTGGTCTTGAGGTTACCTGAATTTGATATTCAAATGGGAAATGCTACAAAGCATTTGTGCTACAAAGCATTTCTTGCAGATCACTATTCTGATATTTTATAGTGCTTACGGACAGATGCAGTAAAATTATCAAATACTTCCGTGAGCAGAAAAAAGCAAAACAGTGCAAGGGGGAATGTGGATTAATCAGTAGTAGATCTGTGCATAAATTACTAACTACTATTGATAATTTATTCTACAAATAGCTTTTAAAACAGATTTAAAAAAAAAAAAAAAGCAACACCAAATGTCAAACACGCAGTGTGAAGAGTTCCTAGTCAAAGTTAGTATTTTAAGACCTTCTCTCATAGTGTCCTTTCAGGTTGTTCAAAAAACAAGTCATAATCCTTAAGTTAGGAATTAAGATAGTTTATTGAGTACCTATAAAAAGTTTAAAATGAAAAAGACAAAGGGGAAAATTTCAGTCTATTTTTACTGAATCATTGACAGCCAACCACATACTGCCAGTAGATTCTACTTGAAAGATCACTGCTAACAACACATGACATTCAACTTTAAAACCTCCCTGGTATTTTCCCATGTGTACATAATCTTCTTGATAGAAATAATTTAATATCAATGCATACTAGGGAAAATATTTTCAGTTCCAGGCAAAATTATCCAACTAGATTTTGTAAATACTGGAATAAAGGTATTACAACTTTGCTGAATAAAGCAAAATTTTAACCCAAGGCAAAAGAGCCTCGTGTTATAGAGAGAACAGAACCATTTTGGCAGACAGTTCATTTAAGCAGACATCTAGGACTCTCTCTCATATAGTTTACTGGTTTGACAATAACACCACCATGATTTCATTACCTGTAGAAAGTACATCAAGCTATGCTGTTCTCATGAATATCTAGTGAGAATCTAAGTCGCAATTCTGCCTGACCCAACAATATAAACTGTTGTGTTACCAGCTGCAAATCGGCAATCTGTAGCCTTCTACAGAGTATACTAATCCTCTTAATCCTTGAGGTCCCTGTTCAATTTGTTTGTATGTTGGCCCAGAGGAACTTGCCGCGATGACATTTCAGAAGGGTACTTAAACAAGGAAACCCTTTCTAAGGATACTGTGAAAGAACAGGAAGCCTGAGCATATGCTACTTGGTACCTCAACAGTGTTGTCATTGTTCCCTTTACTGGCTGGAGGAACCAAATCTTACCTTGTCCCTGTCTACCCTCCTCCACTCTACATATATGAAGGATTTACTCCGTAATCTGTCAGAAAACAGTTCTTTCACCTCTAAATAAGACCAATGGGAAGGAATTGCTGCACACCTTTGCTTTTACTAGTATTAAAATCTTTCTAAGTCAGTATAACAAGACTGACAAAAATTATGTCTTTTCAGCTGCTTCTAATATTCACTTTAATGGAAATAGTTTTCAAAAAGTTACTATAGAAACTTAGGATAGTTCTTAAAAGACAGTGTCTGTGTATCTCCAGTTGCAGAATTCAGTATTACAATCAGTTGCAGAAGATTCTGTAATTAGAAAAAAGAGCGCTATAAATCGTAGAATCATAGAATCATTTAGGTTGGAAAAGACCTTTAGATCATCAAGTCCAACCATAAACGTAACACAGTCAAATCAGTTCAATCAAGAATTAACAGATATGTTAATTGTAATGAAATGCTTTTTAGATGCTCTAGCAAAATCTGTGAGTCACTATGTACCTTTGTAACTGATACGCTTTAAAGCTAGGTCAGTTCACTTAGGAATACAACAGGCATACAACAGAATGAAAACATCATCCAAGCTTGTGTATCAGGGATTATGCTTCTGTTCCACCAAGGTAAGTTGATGATTGCAGGGATAAGCCTTGAACTTCAGCCTAATGATGAATATATAAAACCTAAAATTCACTAACAACCTCTTTTTCATTTATTGTCTCAAGACAGACACCCAGAATAATATATGCTCTATTATCTGTTCATTTTTGCACTAAGTGATATTGGCAAAAATATCAATACCCATATAAGATGTTAAATGCTTACAAAGATTTTCAATCTAAAACCTCATTATACATTCAAATTATATCTCAATCTAAGATTTTGCAAAGAATTTGCATTCTAAAACAAAAATCTCACTAGATTAAAATTCCTTTATTCATCACCAGTTTCCTAAGAAATCTTTTAATTTACTATCAAAATTTTAAGTCAGTTTTATCATGAGTTCTCTTTAGAAAATATACTTTGCAATTCTTGCTAGTACCTATGAGACATCGAATAATTGAAACTAATTCTACCAGTTCATTTGCAACACATCATTCATACCATTTTAGTCGTTCTTTTACTAATTTTTTTTCTTTCCCCAAAAAGGGCACTACAACTCCTTAGAAAGAATAAAGGAAATCAAGCAGTACCAACTCAATTCCTTCACACTTTTATCACTGATGAATATACCTTATTGTAAAAATGGAACGTCACTATGATATCTTCAGGAACTATACTAGCTGATCAACAAAAGAAGCTCCCCAAAGATGGAATATAGTTACCTGATCTTCTTAAAATGAATCTGAAATAAGTTCTTCTTATACTACAGTAAGCAGAAGCACATGCAATTAAAAACATGCATAAAATTTGAAACACCTATTCATTCATTCTCCTAATGAATTTAAGGATCATAAGTGCACTTACTGCAATTATTTCAACAGAAAGGAGAAAGAAGACTACAAAACAAATAGTCTTCTATTACCAATATTAGAGTCAAGAAATTCAAACAAATTAAAAAAAAAAAGACAGCCCTGTAAAGTACTAGTCAGAATGACTTCAAATCAGTTAGCCATGAAGGAAACTAACATTTCTGGGTTTATATACAAAACTTGGCAGTAGCTAAGCTCATAAAAATAAGCTTATCCCATTTAAATATTCTTGATTGTACAATTACACGGAAGGAGTAATCCTTAACCTAGATCTGATTCATAACTCTCATGACTTGTTATAAAATGAGGGCACTGAACTAGTGCAAATAACCAAACTCTAGTTTTTGAAGACTACTCATATGCTGTTCACATGAAAGAAATATCAAAGCAAAATTTAAGAGCTTTATCTAATATTCATATGAAAAAGCTCTAGTATACTATAGCAATATTTTCAACCAATCAGTAAATGCATGCTGTACTTTGGTTAAAATCACCAAGTTTAAAATACACCTACTTTCTTCACCAATCAATTCAAGGTATTATAAATAGATCAAATCATATTTCACAAAGTTCAGTTTATCTAAAAATAAAGAATTACAATCTTCCACCCATTAATTGAATTGTAAAGTGGGTCATACAAAAAAGCAGCTAATACCGATCAGTAATTAAAAAATAACCTTCCAAAGTCTAACCATACGAGCAAGCTGGTGCACTCAAACCTCAAGCAGCTCCACTGAAGACTGACACCAACATAATAAAGCTACTTGTAGGATAAGCAGAACACATGATGTGGACTTCTGTGGGACACGGAATTATTTTTTTAAACCTAACTATTACTATGCATCCAGGTAACAGAAAAAGCTCTCAGGTCCCAATTACAATTGTATGAAACTATATAATTTCAGAAAATAAACTCAAATCCTCAATCAGAACACTTTATATATGTTCCTGAATGTATACGCATACATTTTTAGATGAAAATTGATTGGCAGCTTATAACAGACATTTCACTATGCCGTGCCTGATTTACAAAGAGATTTTTGGTAACAATTTGGGTTTTGGGAGGAAGTTTTTATTTGCACAATTTGGTTGTGAATTATAAACTTGAAAGGCAATGCAACCAAAGCTGTAAAAGGAGCAGCAGTATAATGAGATGACACATAACTGAATATGCTATGATTCAAGTATTTGCTTTCAACAATTCAGCACTGAGTTTAATTTTCAGTGTTTGCTTTTGGGGTTTTCCATAGAAAACACAGAAGTCTATTAGCTGACCTCAGGTGTATCGCAGATCCCTGTACTGAAATGCTAATTTGATAATGGAAATGTCAATGTGTTAGGATATTTGATTACCTGCTCTCTACAATATCACTTTTACTGAAGTCTACAAAGGATATTTTGTTACTAACAGCATGTTGTAAAAATATCTGAACAGTTCATAAAACTCTGCAAATAATCTTAAAACTGTTATGGGCAGGAGTCTGAAGAGCTTTTTTCCTACACACATAAAAAATAAAATACAAACAAATTATCTCATTCACCGCTAATTATCAAGTTCATTTTTATCAGCGAAAAAATGCTCAAAAATTGTATCTTAGCATGTTAAATTTTTAAAATAGCGTAAAGAAGAAAACAGACAGTGGGATTAATCTAGGCAGACAATCTTTGTTATGATGCCTGGGCTGTAGCTAGTAAAGTCTCTGCAGAGAACAGAATTACCCCTATTTAAAATATTTTTTTGTTCTAAGTCTCACAATATTTCTAGATACTTTCTGTACCATGAAAATCTGTACTTAACTCATTGCATTAGAGTAATTTCTAGCAATTTAAAAACTAGAGTAAGTACTAAAACAACCTGCTTCGAGTCACAGAACTTCTCTTCCAACTACAGTCAGTAAGAGCCTGCCCAGGCTTTTAAATACTTTTCAGTATGTAAGAATGTAGAAATTCCCAGCCCCAAAAATAGAAGATAACCCAAACAAAGTTTGAAAAAGGAAAAACACAAAACAAAACATGACATTCTCATGTCAATTTATATACTAAAATTCAATTTTATAATACAGTTACCCATAGACAGCAGGTACCTTTGCATCAGTGACACATTAAACAGCAGGTATATTTGTGTGAAATCTGTTTTCTTGATCAAGATAGAGGCTGAACAAGGACAGCCACAACACAACTAGTCTGCTGAAACATCCCTGAAAAGTCATGGTTTCAAAGCATGTGACAGTAGCACACTCTGAAAACACCAGGAAGTATTTTAAGATACTAATAACCGAGAGGAAGTTAATTACTAGATACAGTTTTCAAAAAAATAATTTGGGGGAATCACCATTAGTCACAGCAGCATCTGTTGGTAAACACCACAATGCCCTGCATTTACTGGCTCTTACATGTTCAAAGCTTCATGTTCAATCCTGCACCATTTCACTTTCAATGTTAACAATAACTAAGAGTTCTTGATAGTATAGATTCACTTCTTTAAATAAAACTGTTCAGATACAAGTTCAAGGTTTTTGTAGTTCTATTTCATAGATACCACCAACTCCTTGCAGTTTCTAAGCTAATGAAATTACACCTACCTCAATTAAGATGCTCTATTTTATATTTAGGATACATTTCTTCAAAATAGTCAATGTGTGGAGGCTGGAGTATGTCGAGGGCAGAGAGTACCTAGGAAACACCACACAAGATCAAGACCTATCCCAGTCAAACGAAAACAAATCCCTTTCAAAAAGACAGACTGCACCTTTCTTATAGAGCTTAGCTTTATTCTATCCCACACAGACAGACCAATATTCCATCCCATTAGATACGTGAATTGAATAGCCCACCAAGTCAGATATTCTGTACATTCAGGGTCTCTCTCTTTTTTTTTTTTTTTTAATTCAAGAAACTTTTTCCAGCTGTTCAAGTAGTAGCTTAAAAGCATAGGTTTATCTATCCAATAAAAATGGGTTTATCTCAAAAATATATATAACCATGAAATATTTGAAAGAAGTCATTCTAGCAGAGAAATGCAAAAGCAATTTTGTTCTTCCTTTCATCTTCAGGAGTTCTGTGATATACTGCTTCCATATGGGAATTACAAAAAACAAAGTTGTTCACATTCTGAATCAGAAGCTCAGCTCTCTGTGCAAAGCAAAAAGGTGGAAAAGCAGCAGCACAGAATTTACATCCTCTCACAGGAAAAAATACTACCTTGGTGTAGTCTTTTAGATCCTGTCCTAGGAATATCTATGACAGTTAGGTGAAGCACACAAACTTCAGTGGTTATCAGGCTCAACTTCTGACTGCTTACAGAGATGCTTTTATTTAATTTTATAGTCCTCAACAAAATTTTCTCCATAATGAAGACCCTGGTGAGGAGCAGTTTAAGATACCAGTTTAAGAGAAATCTTGTCCCAGAATCCATCTCCCAAGGACTGGTGACAGTAGTAGTGGTGGGACTCTGCAATCTGGTACAAGCTTGCAAGGCAGTCCGCCTCTTTTGTGTCCCATTAACAACACTTATCTGAATTCAGTGCTTAACCACAAATAAAATCTTTCTTGGAATATGATACCCTCAGATAAAAAAAAAGATAGAACTTTAAAACAGGAGGAAAAGCAATGAAATAAGGTTCTGAAACAGATACCCACTTCCTGATCCCATTCCACTAGGAGAAGATAGTATTCCCACAGTTGCACTTGTAGAACAGTTTCTGTAAGTACTTTTTTTATTCACTTCAGACACAACCATATGGGTCGATTCAAATAATTTTTAAAAATGTTTTAACTTAACCTAGCTGATTTTACCTAAAGCAGATTTGGGAGTGCCTGCACACCCACTCTGCTAGAAGAACTGAGAGCGCAATAAACACAGGGGAGAGGAAGATGGAGTAAGAAATAGCTTGGAAGTGAAAGCATCTCCTGCTGGCATAGCTTGGTGCAGATTGACATTTATCTAAAGCCTAAAATAAGATTAGGTGGAAGTGTATTGCCTCTCTATTTGCAAACATTTTGGAAGGGAAATTACGAATATCCTTAGATTCTTAATAATTTCATTTTTTATAGTGTTTGCAACAGTAATATCTGAGTTTCCAGGAAATCTGATAACCGTAAAATTAGAGAGCTTTTAAAGCATTTTAGATATTCTATAACTTAAAAGAAAAAAATACTTCTGTTATAGATAGCTCCATTTTACAATTAGGCTTTATCAAAGACTTGAAAATTACTTTGAATTTACTTACATTGTCATGCTTAAAAAAACACAACATCTTCAACTCCCGGAAGACCCTTTTACAAGAGACCAAATTTTGGAAGACGTTGGGCATCTTTTTGAGTGCAACTCTCTTTCCATCTCGTGGATCTGTTACTGACCTACAGAATAAAAGATGTAGAACATCACATACTACTGTTAGACAATTTTTCTAAATCAGAAAAGAATATTTTAGAGTTCTTATAATTCTCAACTTAGACGGTGAGTCAAAACAATGAGAAGACACTTCTAGGGAAAAAAGTATTAAGCAAAGGGCACTGTGCTATAGACGCTGTATTAAGTGTAGCGTGATCGTTCTTTGATTAGAGTACATATACACATACTCAGTCAAGCTCGGTAGCTGTTAAGCAGCTGGACACATGTACATCAGTGCATATACTGCCTGACACTGGCATGCACTGTAGCTCAAAGTTAGATCAACACCTTGAGCAGAGGAGCAGACGTGATGATAAACATCTCCTTCAGCTCCCAAAAAAGACCTTATGAAGAGTAAAACATTTTCTCAGTTACACAGCTCTGATTTTTTCAGGTCTACTGCTCTCTTCTTCCTCTCCTAAGAGGGCAAAAAATTTAATAATCCCATTCTGACAGAACACTGGCAAGTGTAAGACTATTACTTGATCTATCACTAAAACACTTTACATCTGGAGAAGCAACAGCACATGGTATCTAAGTTTCCACAAATGTAAAACAGGCATGATACCTGTCTTTCTCCCATAGAGCTTATGGGATGCAAGTATAGTAGTTCAGAAATTATAAGGTGCTTTCCACATGGCAAGTATTTTAATTTAAAGTAATTAGATTCTGAAAATAGAATTTTATAATGAGAACCATAAAACTAGAGCAAGGAGATTATGGTACCTCAATTCCCAAACACGGTTTTTAAGGTGAGGCTTCTCAAATCTCACTACAAAACAGGGTTTCTAGATCTTCAGTTGTTAGGAAACCTTCTTTTTTTTTCTGCATATTTTTACTGGGATGGCCAAAATAACTTTCTTCTCAGTGCAATGCCATAACCACGTAAGAATCTACATCCAGCTATGATGACTACATTTGTCCGTAAGAAGTTGCCGGCTTTTCTATCTATCACATGACTCTTCTACAGACGACACAAAGGGCTGCTTCTTTTGTCTCAGGTCCATGTTGGTTTAAGTATTTAAATAAAAAATTAGAATGGGGTAATCAAATATCTGCCTTATCTCCAACCACATCTGACTTCAAAATACAAAACAATTCAATCAATCCAAAAAGTCAGAAGTAGCCACTAATACTAGTGGTTGGGAGTCAAAGGAGAACTAGAACACTTGTTAATAGCCTCTGCATATTTATATTTTAAATAAGGGGCAGAGGGGGACTCAGGAAAGTTGATACTAGACTACTTCTATGGTGGGAAACACAGAGTTGAAAAGAATCTGAAAAGGTCTTGTAATTCACAATACGTTTCCCATTTTCTTCAGGACGTTCGCCTCTTGCCTCTAGCCTAAATTGGAAAGAAAGGGAATGCAAACTGGAAGAGCTACAGAAAATCCACTGTTAATGCAACTCAGCACTCACCATGGGCCAGACTGAAATATCCTCCCTCCACTGTAGAGTAACTTCATTCACAGATGATGGTTAACCTCAGTGAGTGCAAAACAAGGTACTATTATCATGAGTAGGTGACATTTCAGGCTGGCCCGTAGCTTTGGGATTATAGCAGAGGCAGATTCTGAATGACACACAGCAGGGCCGGTACCAGGCGGTAGCTCACAAATTCATATAAATTTGATCCCAGCATGAGCTGAGAGCTCCCATTGCTCCCAAGGTCAAGCACCACTGATCAGCTAATTAGTGGTATTCTTCTCTCTTTATGAGACAGCACTTCTGGCCCCCACCAAGTTTTTTTAAAAAAAAAAAAAAGGCAAAAAGCACGCCACCAAACCTCTAACATATAGAAGAAAACTTAAAAGCTGCTGATTCCTGGGAATTAAATAGATATATTCTTGCTACAAAAACAAAGTTGTAAAATTTTATTCATAAAAATCCTCACTGATTACACTGCAGTTGCTACTGAATTACTAATTTTTCCCTTTGGAGTTTTGACACTATTGCTGACCACTGCACACACACACCAAAACACTGCTATCAAGAGGATATTCACAGCTATGGAAGAAATCCCACTAGTGGATTGCAATGATGATGCACTAAAGTATCACACAGATGCAAGACCTGAGACCTTTGACAACATGAAATTTCCCCACAATGACTGTTAATATCTAGGCAGACCACATGCACCTTCCTCAGCTATGTTATATTCAACAGTACAGTTAACACAATAGTTAAATAGCTATCTTGGCTATGAAAAATATTTGATTTAAAACCTTCAAAATTTATTTTATGCTATATTACAGCATATTTAGAGCACGCTCTACAATTCTTTTTGAATAAGGTGAAGAAAATTAAATATGTGGGTTTGTTTCATTATTTTTCCTTAGAAACATATCTAAAAAACGTAACTACAACAAAAGAATTTTCTTTAAATAGACAGAATTCCTATTTTACACCGTAAACAAATTAATTCTCTAAAATTGCTTCAATTTCTTTAAGACAGAATAAAACAATGCTTAAGATCCAGACAGCTTATTTGAGAGAGTTCACATCTACTTCTATCATTTCTATTATCTGTAATAAACTAGCGCAGTAAACATCTATAACTTTCTCTAAAGAAAGACTAAAAAGTCTTCATTGATCATGTGCAGGGGTTGTACAACACAAAAAGAGCATAAAGCAAAAAACAATGGCAATTTGTCTGTAGGTTTCCTTTGTTGAAGAAATTAGCTCCAGCTTCACAGATTTAATAGGTTTTTTGTTTGCTTTTTACCTCAAATTACACAAGCTTAATAGAACCTGCAATGGACAGACCTAAACCAATCAGCAGTCACAGACAACATCATTTTTGAAGACAGACATGCAAACAAGTAATGCAACCTTCCATGATTGATAAAAATCTGTCATCTGAAACTTGGGCACCACCTTGACTGCTTACAGCAAGAGGAAGTCAATTTCCATAAAACTAGTTGCAGATAGCATGTGGTTTTTTAAACACTCTTCCTCTTGTTCTGGAGATTGTAAGCTTCACAAGCTTACAAGCTTTTTAAGCTCCTAGTTGTATTTTAGGCTGTATCTATAGCAATCAGCTTCTGAATTTGAGTACTATTGCAACAGAAGGACACCATTCTGATTAGTCATAGAAGAATAACCCATTTTGTGAATGTTAACGAGCAAATAACTCAACATATCAGAATCAGCTTTGAAATTTTAGGTATTTTTGACATATTAAAATTTCATAAACAGGTCAGACGTGCAATACAATTCACATATCTACGTGAGACAGATACAAGAAATTGAAAAAGTGCTTGAACAACATGCAATTAATCAATCAATAAAAACACCATTATCAAAAAAAAGAGCAAGAACAGTTTGGCTTTGGTTTTGGACTTAAAGACTAATAAGAACCAAAAGACCATAACAACACCTGTTGAAGAAAATTCTACACTGCTGGATTGACAAAGCATGTATTAGAATCTTCTCTGCTCTTCAGGTGTTTCCTTATTCTTAATGTCCCGAAGGCTTTTTAGACAAAATGCACCACAGATTTGAGTGCACGGAGATAAAAAGCAGGCCCACTACAACTACGCGCACAGCGGATTTTTAGCCATGTTCAGGTCTCACTGTTGCAGCAGCACCAACAAGACGACACTGAATTTAAGGCAGGTGACAGAGTTGTTTCTGAAATTCAACCTGTCAGTAGGCAGGATGAAACTGATCTGCTGGAAGAGGAGTAAATACCAAAACAAGTTTCCACTTGCTTGCTTGTTCATTTCTAATTGAGCAAGGGGGAATCATCTGTTTGGTACTTGAGGATTTGGATACCGGTTCTCCTCCCCCATGACAAACATCTCAGAGGCTGCATGTTTTAGTAGCAGCAACACAGCTTTGGGAATCGACACTCAAGACCTTTTGGAGTTATTTTTAATAGCCACCTTTTAACCATATTTCCGTTTAGAAACTACCTATCTCCTTTTTCCAAATCTTATAAATATAAACATTATTCCAGCAATTGACAAGAAAAATGCAATAATATATATTATTAGATGGCCCATAATACACATGGTTTCAAAGTTTGCATTGTGTCTTCTTAATGTTTTAAGGTAAAACTCACAAAGTAGCATTTCTTGTTATTATTCATGCAAAGACCAGTCATGCTTGTAGCTGGTAACAATATAACTCTAATGAATGTGAATGGAAGTGCAGTAATTTCACGCCATGTTGAGTTTGTTCTCTCTTAACTCAGGGTAGCAGCTGCTTTGGTTCAGCACAAACAGTACCAGAGAACAGAGATAAGTGCTGAAGCCTGTTACAGAGGAATGCTTTTATTTCTTTGTTGCTGAAAGGCTTGCTGGGCTGAGCTCTTCTGGTTCTGCAACACACGGGTTATCCCATCTGTATGAGCTAATGAATCTCAGGCTGTATAGATAACGAACAGCTCTGAAGGCAGCTTCTGCGATCTCCAGTGAAAATGACCCTGTTCGAAACGTCTCTTCGTCTTAATGACCAGTTACTTGTCAAACTAAACTTCACATAAATTATTTAAATATTATGTACAGTGTGCTTTTAATGCATATACTAAACAAACATCTGATTTTACAGTAACATATCTATTTACATAGTCCTATCTAATAAAATTAAATTTAAAGAAAAAACCGCTAAGATTCTCATTTTATTAGTCTAAAAATCAAACTATTAAAACCAATAACCTACACTCATGTATACTCTTCAGATAGTGCCATACCTCCACACAAAATTACCAGAAGACCTCAAAAGGTGTCCTTTTAATTGAATTCTAGATTAAAATAGTCACTCCCAATTCTAATAAAATATTAAAATAGAATAACAGAATTCAATTTTAGAGTAGTAACCCAAAACATTTTCAGGCAAAGTCTGAACACAAGTACCCCTCTCACACTGTCTGAAATTATGGAAATGGTAAAATACAGAATAGCATTAAATACAAAGTTACTTGCATTCACTGATTTTCAATTACACTGCCTCTGTAGTTGTG